CCCTCCTCCCTCCCCCCCCCCCCGCTCCCTGCCCCCTTACCATGCTGCTCAGAGCAGCAGGACTGGCAGCTACGCCACCCGGCCGGAGCCAGCCATGTTGTCCGGAGCACTGGCGGCACGGCGAGCTGAGGCTGCCGGGGAGGGGCCGGGGGCTAGCCTTCCTGGCCAGGAGCTCAAGGGCTGGGCAGGATAGGCCCGCAGGCTATAGTTTGCCCACCTCTGATCTAGAATGAGAGTGTTGAAGTTCTCACTCTATCCTGTTAAAGGGGCAGTGTCAGGGTAAAGATCACTTTAGGAACTTGAGGTTGCTTTTTAACGCACAATACTAAGAACGCTTCTTAGATTTCTGAAACTGAAGGAATTTTCAAAACTCTAACTTTACATCATTTCTGCTATTGACTTTTTGCACGTTCATCACTTTGGCAGGTGACAATAGACTAATTTCACTTTCTCATCCATATGCACTAGCATAATGAGGCATTGTGTTTTAAGTACAAACACTGCTGTGAACTCTTCACTAGTGAAAGCCTAATCTTGGAAACATCTTGCTCGGTCATGGTAATCAGGAAAAGGTTGTCCCTCGGTGACTGCTGTGTAATAAACAAATTAGATACAGTTTATGAACTTTCAGCCCTCTTTAATGGTGCTTTTGCATGTGACCTAAAAACCAAGGTGTGATCATTTGTGGTCATTAATGATCCAGTAGTGTGTTTTGGAAGAGTGGGTGTGTTTAAATGCAGCAGTATGGCCAAATCCCAACAACAAATTATTCTCCTACCTCTGTTCCTCTATAGCTTCAGTGACGTAAGGGTATTCACAGTAGGAGTGAAAATGTAGTTTTGCTGTGTTCCTCCCCAGAAATGGCTGCATTTCAGTGAGATGTGAAGTCATCCCTTTATATCCATTCTCTGCCCCATACACGCTATGAGGCTTAGTGTTAATAAGCAATTGGAAGTACTTTTGGCACCTTAGAAGCAAAGTTGATAGAGTGCAAAGTGGTAATGTTAAGTGGTTGTGTTGTGATTATTTAATCACATCAGTGGAAGCTTCTCTGATTACTGTACAAGCAGATTAAATTTCTGTAAGGATGACTTTGTGGCCCAAAGCATTGTATTGGTAAATCTGAGTTCATTCCCAGCTCTGTCCAGACTCATGGTGTGACCTTAAGGAAGTCTTTTAACATTTTGTGCCTTTGTTTCCCTGATAATTGGGTGGGGTTAATACTTTCCTGCCTGACAGGGCTCTTGTGAGGCATATTCAACCTCTATAAATGATTACAAGGTCCCTGGAAGGCACTAGAGAAGGGGAAAGAAAGCATCATCACTGTCTGAATTGGGATTTGTGCATCCTGCTTGTAAGAACCTTGACAGTCAAAAGCAGAATAATGTCTTTGCTTTTTTCCCCCCTTTAGGAAAAATTTTGCATCCCACATGAATTACGAAAACCCTCCACCATATCCAGGCCCAGGCCCGACTGCCCCATACCCACCATATACACAACAACCAGGTGGTCCTCCAGGCCCCAACCCATACCCTGGCTACCCACCAGGACCTGCTGGGCCGTATCAACCAGGTCAGCCGGGTTATCAAGGCTATCCACAGTATGGGTGGCAGAATGCGCCTCCACCTCCTGGACCAATGTATGCAGATGGACCTAAAAACACAGGTACGCTAAGCAGCATGGTGCCCTAATAGCATTATACTGCTGCATGCTCTGTTTTGCAAGTTAATTACTTGTTAATGTGCCTTGTGTGTTTGAAATGAATGACTCTGTTCATCCTGGAGTGAGGGTAGGGTGACCAGATGTCCCAATTTTATAGGGACAGTCCTGATTTTTGGGTCTTTTTCTTATATAGGCTCCTATTACCTCCCACCCCCGTTCCGATTTTTCACATTTGCTGTCTGGTCACCCTAAGTGATGGGGGATCGCTATCCTCTGGCCTTCAGGAAGACTGTCTGCCCAGTGTCCATGCTAACAGGGCTAGATGAAGCGGGGAACTGCTGGTTCTGGTTTCAGCTCCAGTGACAGCTCTCGTTTTTCAGGTTCAGTTTGTTTTTGCTACTGTAGCTTCTAATAATTGCTCATTTTCTGACTAGAGACACGTGGAGTGTCCCTGAACAGCCTTCATGGGCGCTCCTGAGGGGACTGCTTACACTAAGCCATTTTCTGCTGAGTTTTAGCCTCCATTCCACCTCTTTTCATTTTTCCTCAGTTAACAGCCATCCAGCCCTAGGCTGAGACTTTTAAAGCCTACGCTAATAATGTAGCTGAATTCGAAGTACCTTAGTCCGAACTTACCGTGGGTCCAGACGCGGCACGGAGGCTCCCCCGTCGATGCCGCGTACTCCTCTCACCGAGCTGGAGTACCGGCATCGACGGCGAGCACTTCCGGGATCGATTTATCGTGTCTTAACCAGACGCGATAAATCGATCCCAGAACATCGATTGCCTGCCGCCGGACCCTCCGGTAAGTGAAGACGTACCCTTAGGGGATTTAGATGCACAGTTCTATTGAAATGATTGGGAGTTATGTATGTAAAATCCCTCAGCAGTTTTGAAAATTTCAGCCCTAGTGTACTCCATGTGGCTTTGGATCCATTTCTAGGCCTTTAATTTTCTTGGGCAGTCACCATTATATTTTTCCAATAATTATGCCTGGGGGAATTCTGCACCACTGCACATGCGCAGAATTTATGTCCACTGCAGATTTCTTTGCTTCCCTGCAGAAAAATTACTTTCTGATGGGGAAGCAAAGGGAAGCCACAAGAGCAGTTATGCAACTCTTCCCAGCAGTATGTTTCTGGTGCCCAGCCAGCAGAGAGGTATATCACTGTGGGGCAGTGGGCAGGACTGGGGAAGACCCGACTGGTGGCTCCTACCCTGCGCCAGACTTAGGGCCCTGGGGTGTTTCTGGGGCAGGCCGTGCCCTTGTGCTGTGTTAGGGTTGGGTGTAGCCTCACCGCCAAGTCCCTGTCCCGGGAGGGAGCTGTACAGTGATCTCCTACCTCTGTGTAGCCAGTGGTCTGTGCTCCCCAATGCCATGCTGGAGCCTCCACATTTATTTGACAAATAAAACTTGCAGAATTTTGCAAAATTTTAAAATATTGTTCGCCGAATTTTTAATTTTTTGGTGCAGAATGTCCTCAGGAGTAAATATTGTATTGAAATGCTTAAAGATGAAGAAACCAGAGAGCTGAATTCCAGGAGTGCAGCACAATTGTTTGTGTCGGAAGTTGGACATTCTTCTCTTGGATGCTCCATTTCCTCTCAACAGCCTGACTCACTAGTCAGTAGTTTCCAGGTTGTGGCACCACAACTGCCTCAGTGTTCACAGGGCTACGGTCAGGGGTATGCAAAGGTCTTCTGGGGGTACATCAACTCATCTAGATATTTGCCTAGTTTACAACAGGCTACATAAAAAGCCAGTCCAAACTAAAATTTCATACAATGACTGGTTTATACTGCTCTATCTACTATACAAATCAAACTCCTGAAGGGTACAGTCGTCTGGAAAGGTTGAGAGCCACTGCTCTAGATCTGCGCTGAGAGGCAGGCCAGCACCCAGTTCTGCTTTCTCCCCACCGAAAAAAAAGAAGGGCTGCCATATCTTCTCTCTCCTTCTAGAGAGGAGGCTGACCTGGGGGCCAGCTCAATTCTTTTCAGCCCAGGGAGCTAGTAGCTATCTTTACAGATTACTCTGGCTGTAGAGAGTATATAAAGAGCTGGGGGCTGAAGGTGAGGATGACCCGCTACTGGAAGGGAGGATGAGAAAGAAGAGCAGGGCTTGCATTGATGGAGGAGTTGAGTGGATATGGGAAATGGGGAAAGAGTGAGGGGCAATAGGGAGAAATGAGAAGGGGAGGGGAGAAGCCAATGCAGGAAGAAAGAAGTGGGCAAGACGAGTGGAGTGGTGGGGGGATGTAGGGAGGGAGGAGAAAGAAGGAAGACAGACTCCCAAAGATCGAGGCACAGATAAAGGATACAGACCCGAAGGCAGTAAATGCTGAATGAAGGAAGGGGAAAGAGATACAAGGACAAACATGAGTGCCACAGCAGCTAGGACAAAGCTCAACTGTCTAATCATTGGCTAGAAAGTTAAATGCCATGATGTTCCAATAAAATAGAGGTAAATAAAGTATGTACATGCTTGAACCATACACAGGCAAGTTCAGCACTGCCTGCTCTGCTGCTTCCTCCTGGAAAGGCTCTTCTGGGACTTGGAAATGTCTCCTACTCCTTCAGCTTTTTCCAGGATGTGAGTGTGTTAACAGGTCCCTTACTAAAAATGGAAATCCTCGTCTGCTACCTGCATGACAGGCTGATCGAGGCAAAACCCTACAAGCTTGGCACTAACTGGTAAAATCTTTTGGAGATTCAGATGTGGTTCCATGAAACAG